CCCTATATGCCTCGACAGAACGACAAAACAAAACTAATATACTGACCGCAAATAAATGTTATTGTTTCTAAAACTGTTAACCATTGAAGCCTGTATTGAAATGTGACTCACAGATTTGGTTATGACTCAGTCAAAATTTAGCTACCCATTTAAAAGGGTCCACAAGAGACTTAAAAAGTATTTCAGGTAGATAAAAAGCATTTTTGCTGAGAGATAAGTTCCACTGTGAAGCACTGATTAAAAGTCAGAGGTCAAGGTAGAAAAATATATCAATCCGCCGTGCTGTGGAGATAACCACAGACAGCAACGAATCACGCTCTCAGACTCTCATTCTGTGTTAAGAGCTCCTAATTCTCAAAGTGGATAGGCTCATTCTCCTAGAATGTGCTGGTTCACATTTTTTCCTGCAACATGGGATTCCGTCCACTTGGGGAAAAGATCAGAGAGCCAAAGAATGTCCTAAATAAAAATAGAATAAAAGCCTTACCCTCGCTGCAGAGAAGGGAGGCATAAGGAATCCCGCCCACACTTGAGGGTGATATTTCGAAATCCTGTGCTACGTACACAGAACAGAAAGAAAGAAAGAGAGACGGGGTGGCAGTATGTTCCACCGCGGGCAAGCCGCTGCCTCGGCGACGGTGTGGGGCAGACTCTGAGCGAGGCGGGCGTGCAAAGATGTAAAGAATAAAGATATGTGTGAGACCGCCGTGCCTCCCAAGGCTTCTTAACCTTTTCGGTGACAGGAATCCCTTTGGCCATTTAGTGACGCTGACTCTCAGAACAGTGCTTTTAATTACATGAAATAAAACATAATAGGACTAACAACCTGATTTTTTAAATGGGCAAAAGATCTAAGCAGACACTACCAAAGAAGAAACGCGGCTGGCAAATTAACACACAAAAAGATGCTCAGCTCCGTTAGTCATCAGGGAGAGGCAAATTAAAACTACATCGAGCTACTATGACTCCGCCACAAAAAAAGGCAAAAGTTAGAAAAAGAGAAAACCGACACTCTCAAGTGTTGAGCAGGGACGCGGAGCAACTGGAATGCTCGTGTACCGCGGCGGGAAACCGGATGCGACGCCCCCTATGAGAAACGGTTCAGAAGATCCTTAGAAAGTGACACGTACTAAACAAAAATCGAGCGATCTCATCCTGCTCACTTATCCAGGTGAAATGAAGACCTAGGTTCACACAAAAACCTATCTGTGCATAGTACGGCTGTTTTATTCATAAGTGCCCCAAACTGGAACAACCCAAAGGCCTCCCAACGGGGGGCTAGTTAAATTTACTGTGGTTCATCCATACGATGGAGTATAGCACAGTCATAACATGGACTGAACTAGCGATACACGCCTCAAGAATACTCTGGGATCCATAAGCTGAGTGAAAGACGCCGGCCTCAAAAGGCTACGTATCGTGACTCCGTTTATATGACATTCTAGAAAAGGGAAAGTTATAGGGATGGAGATCCGTATTTGCAAGGGGTCAGCAGTGGGGATGGCAGGTCTGACCGCAAAACGGTGGCACGAGAGAGTTTTTCTTTGGGGAGGCGGCAAAGTTTGTGTCTTGGTCATGGCGGTGGCGGCGACACAACTCATGGGAGCTGCGCAACGCAGAGTGACTTTTGCTGTAAATAAATTAAAACATAAACTCTAAAAAAATTATTTAAATGATTCCTACCATAAAATTTTTTTTAAGGCATAAGGGATATTGAATCACACAAGGAGCCAATTCTATGGAAATAAAGGTGTACATTTCCCCACCCCCCACATTTACAGACCCTCGGGATTCTATCCACAAACGCCCGAGAGACACCGGGTTAAGAGTCCAGACTTCAGTCCGACACGCTCAGGAATGTTATGGAGAAGAGTCCACCTGTGGCCAAAACAGCTTGATGTGTCCGTGTGCCTCGTGCCTTCTCAAGGTACACCTGCTGTAGGCTACATCTCTCAACTCACCCTGCCGTGCCTGGCAGGGAACCTCGGGCGCAGAGTCCCCGGGAACCCTTTGGAAATGTCATGCTGGACGAGCAGGTTCTTGAGGACAGTGACCACGATGTCCCTAGCATCTGGTCCTGGTAGAGACTTGATAAACACCTGTATTCGCTACATAAATAAAATGTCTACCTTTGCTAATTTATAAAATAATAATAATAAAAAAATCAATTTTAACTACTTGCCTTACAGCTCATACTTCCAAGTAATTTACTTAAAATACTTTATTGCATTGATATTAAGGCTTTATATAATGATTTAAACATAAAGGGATTTATAATTTACTGTTTACACAGCATACCTCATGGAAGAAATTGACTTGAAAAATTACAGTTGACACAACCTAATTACGGAAGCCACCATGAACACAAATACCTCCTAATTTTATTTTACAACGTGTATTAAACTCCTTGCCCCAAAATACAACGACTGAATGTTGTAACTTAAAATGGATACCGATCCAAGGTTTAATTTTGCTTTTAAGATTAAGCTAGCACATGAGTAATTTAAAAGTGATTTGAAACAGCAAGCGGTGTCATTGGGCCTACAGTTAATGAGGTTTTGACAACGGCAAATAAATTGAACTCATAAATCTATTCGCAACCACCTCTGTGTTTATCAGACAGGCCACTTTGCACGGCTCTACAGCCAAGTTTCGTTTTCCAGGGTGAGAGTGGATTCGCGAGGACTCACCTCCGACACGGCTCTGTGTTCCTCTACAAAAGCTGGGCTGCAAGAAGGGTGACACGAAACCAAAGGCTACGTTTTTTTGTTTTTTTTTCTGATGTGACATCATCAGCACAGCCCTCGTCTACCAAATACTGTGCTTTCCAAAATGCCACGCGGGCAGACACGCATGCTTAGCACACGCCCTGAGAGCGTAGCCAGGGCGAGAGGTCTGCTGTTCGCTCGGTCTCGTAGACGGAGTCGGGATCAGACAAGCATGCTGATCCCGCCGGGCACAGCCTACCTGTCACACCCCGGGAGAAACGGCTCTAGGCGCCCAGAGAGCAACCATTAAAGATGTGAAGAAAGAAACGTATTGGTGCTGAGACTTCCAAAACACGCACCGGTAGGATCCGCACGAACGACGCTTCTGTGCGCATTTCAAGACAGTGCAATAATTGCGTTATCGGCACAAAGTGTTCTGCTGTTTCCTTCCTGCTCAGAAATTCTGAGCTCTAAGGACACAGAGGCCTGTGCATAACAAACACGATTTACTGAACGAGGGAGCCGACCAGGAGACGACCAGACAAACAAAATAAGAGCAAGTCAGAGGATGCTTCTTTGCGAAATTGAAGGGATTTTAAGGTCCGCTCCGATGCTGCCTGAGATGGACTGGACAAACACGTGGCCGACAGCAAACGTGGGGGTTGCAAGGTGTGTGAACCTTCTAAATAAAGCTTCTTCGAAGTTCCGCTTTAACTACAAAGCTGGAGACTACTGCTAATGCGATTTATGGATCTTGAAGAAAAAAGCAATTCGGGATTACTTTATCTAAGGAATCAATATTCTTCCTAATAGTTTTGGTAGAGTGTATCAATTTTCTTAGCCAGAAAACGATGCTGCTTTCTGTGCTTTGTATCTAAATACAACATAAAGTATGGGGAAAGCCATTTAAAAGGAATAAGGACATAGTTCTTTAAATGATAATAGCAAGTTAATAATAATAGTAATAATAATAAGTACATTGAAATGCACCAATACGAATTATGATTCTCTCACAAGGAAAACCAAATCAGAAGAATGTTTTATGACCCCCTTTGACCCCACCACAGACTCAGTCACCTGTGTTCTGATATAAATGACTAAAACAACTCAAAAACGTGAGTTACTATATTTTGTTTAGCCACGTATTTTATCCAAAGATGCGATCATCTCAGAATCACAGTTGGAACAACAGGTGGCACAGGACAAGCCTCCTGGACTCCCAGGTGTGTCTCCGCCGAGGTCCTGCTCCTTCCTCGTGCAGCGGCTGTCCAGGGCTGGCGAGACACCCACCCTGCTTAGGGAAGCCGACAAACCGGGCCTTGGGTCCCAGGCTGCCACCTTCCAGTTACATGGCCCTGAACGACTCGTGTGACTCCTCCGAGCCTCGGTTTTGCTAAGCACAGAATGGGCTGACGTCTTGCACGCACTAAACCTGAGAAAATTAGAGAGTCCAGTTTCCTCCTGTGCCCTCTCAGAGGGGGCATCTTGCCACAAGGGTATGAGTCTAGTAGCCAAAGGAATGTGCTTTTGAACAACGCAGTGCCTGAAAAGAGAAGCCAGTGCCTCACGCAGTGCCAACCGATGACGCCTGGGGGTCCTGTGCCAGGGGAAGACGGAGCCGAAGTAGACGACCTGAGACATCGACACCCTCCGGCCCTCCGACGTCTCACTCCCTCGAGGTGAGTGGGAACATGCCCACGGTGAGGCCACTGCAATGTGCTGCCTGCCGCCTCTTACGGTCCCTCTGTGGGTAAAGATGGAAGAGCTAGGAACGTGCCTGACACACAGAGACGTCTGGACGGCAGCTATTACTAGCCTGTCTCTTCTTCCGTCTCTGTTTCTGTCTCTCTCAATCTCATATTGGATTAGGACCGCCGCTCCCTGACTGGGCTCCCTGTCTGCTTCTGGTTGCTCAGCCCTCCACGGCCACCAGACTATTCTGGAGACACAGAAGCCGTCACAGGCCACGAACAGCAGAGACGCTGCCTCTCGGACCGGCCCGCCACGTCCAGGCTCACGCCCACCTTGTGGCCTCGGCTCTCTGCACCCCGTTAGCCAGGCAACGTGAAAGCAACTCTAGGAAGTGAGACAAAACATTTGTGCTGTGATGTGAATGCCTCTCAGGAGGGAAAAAGCCAGCGTCGATGGCGAATGTGCTCCTGGTGAAATGCGGCTCACCAATGACACAGGGAATGCTTGTTCTCCGCTCACCCACTGCTAAATGCGCACAGATTCGAACGCCCTTGCAGGCAGGAATGAAACAAATACATGCTCTTAGCGTTGTTTAATAGCCTGTACTTCTTTCCAGAAGACAATCACGGGGAAGAAAGAAATAAAAACTCCTCAGTGTTCTGTTGTTTTTCATGCAGCGTGAGACGCTGCGCGCAGGTATCTGCAAAGCTAGAACATTCTCTCCCTGAGAGTAACAGAGGAGCCAGTGTGGGATGCTCCGCCGTGAGAAAGCCTGCTATCTAGAGTCCTGATCCTTACAAAAAAAAAAAAATTGGTTAAGAAGTGATTATTTGTTCTCTAAAAGGATTAGCTGCTTTACAAAAGGATTATCCACAGATTTCTGAAAGGTATTAAACTTAGCCAGTGTCTATAAACCAGGACTCAAATTAACATAACTTTCCAGGAATACATTCACATTGTAATTCTGGGTATTCGGGGAGACCGAAGTCACCTTGAGTCAGGATGAACCAGGGAGAGTGAACGCCTGCTGTTGGGGGTCTCCCTCGGCGGCCTGGCCTCCATCTTTGCTGGCACCTGGCGGGGGCGGCACAGGCTCCAACGGTCAGCCCCCCCGGGACGCTGATGCTTAGGGACACTCGAGCCATCCACCCACGGTGTGTGAGAACTGAGGAGCACAGAGGCCACAGGGAGGGTCCAGCGGCAGCAGTGGCCACGGTCGCAGGCCGCGGCCTTGCTCTAGAGTCTCCGGTGGTCCGGCCCGGGGCTCCTGCCCCTTCTCCGAGCCGCTTCTCCAGCCTTCCGGTTGGTTCTGAGAGCCTCCTGGTCACCTCCAGCCTTCCGGTTGGTTCTGGGAGCCGCCTGGTCACCTCGGTCTGCTTCCTTTCTTCAGTCGGTTAATCAGAGCCGGATTCGGAGGGGACAGATCAAAGCCACACCTCATACGCCCAGGATGACGAGGGAGGGAGGGTCCCTCACCAACGTCCGCTCTTTCGAAAGGGCTGGTCGCGCTTCTCTGCGTGAAGATGGCTCGCTTGTGTGACCAACAGGACTTGGCAGAAAGGACAGCGTGGCTGAGTCGGAAGGGTGCTGGGCTTCCTTCGGCCTTGTTTGTCCGGGCTCGCTCTCTGTGGGCGAGGCCAGCTGCCCAGTGACGAGGACGCTAACTAGTCCTGTGATGGGTCCACGTGGCGAGGAACTGTGGCCTCCTGCCCACGGCCACCATCTGCCATGGAAGGGGGTCTCCCAGCCCAAGCAGGCCTTCAGACAGGTGAGATGGGACAAACCGCCGACGCCTTTCCAGGGCCCAGAGAGCAGGTCTGTGCTAACGGCCACACCGGGGCCGCTCACAGGGACGGCCCCTTGGGTGTCCGCCAGGGCACATTCCAAGTATCTCAGGGGCCCCTCCGAAAGCCTCTGCTTAAAACAGGGGCGCTCCTGGCTCCTAGCGAGCGCAGCTGCAGTCGTAGCCATTGTCCACAACTTCCGGATTTAAAAAATTATGTATATTTGAGAGTTTCTAGAAAGGATGAAAGCCACGTTACGCGGGCGCTGGGCCAATCCTTCCAGGTTCTGTCACCCAAGGGGACCCTACTGGGCATCTGGCCAGGCTTTCCTGGCTAATCTGGCCATCCTGACTCCTCGGGCCATGAAATACTCGCCGAGCACAGGGAGGGGAGGTGGGCCCCGGGGACCATCCCGGCCGCAGGCTGACGAAGTCCGGCCGGCGATCACACACCTGTGTGACTCTGGGTCTTAAGATCATCCCGCCCGCCCTCCCTCGGTCTTCCCGATAGAGTCATGCGTGGGACCCTCTAACTCCTCCCTATGTAGAGCACAAACTCTTTCTCGATGAAAACACTTCAGAGCTTCGTCTCGCGTGTCCCTTTCATTTCAGACACCCAGAAACATCGTCCGCCTCCCACTGTGGTTAACGCTGATTTTACGCACTTGACACAGCGCTTAAACCTCCACCCAAACATACCTTGTACTCGTCACGGACATTTGCCAGCCCGAGCCTTCCACAGGGGAACTGTGCCCCTCCAGCCCCACGGGACAGCGCGGAGCTTGCACAAATGTCACCGTATCTGCTCTGCTGGTTCAAGGGGGGCCAAGCCTCAACCGACCAGAAATCGCGAGCGGGAAATGAGTGTAAGGGGGCGGGCGCCCCTCCTGAAGGCTAATCCCAGACCCCATAGCCGTGCAGACCCTGCTGGGGGCGCCTGGAAGTAAAATGTGTGAGGTTCAGCCGCTGCCTTAGAGCACGACGCCAACGGCGAGACCTCGACAGACGTTTTCTCGGTGCAGAAACTCTCCAAGGAGCCTGTGCAATAATTCCACACGCCCTTCAAATCAGGGCGACGGGCAAATCACTCCATTATTCGGCTCCGCCCAGGCTTGGCCCACTCAGCCCTGGGTGTCTGTGGCCCCTCGGGCCTAAGTCAGGGTCTCCCCCGCGGGGCCCCCCACCCCCGAGACAGCGCCCGGTTCCCGGGGGCCACCCGCGCCCCCTC